TCAGAATCAGTGGTAAGTTCCCTTTGGCAGGGAAGATCTAGTGATGCCCAGAAATGGGGTGATTCCACTGGAAGTGAGGGAATCACCCAATCTTCCCTTCCTTCTGAAGGTGGAGTATTAGAAAGAGGCTCTTGCAAGTCTTCCCTTCCCACCCCCTCAACCCAGAGCTCTCTCCAGCACATCATGAGAGGGCTGGACTAATAGGAATAGAGGTTGAAAAGGAAAAAAAGCACTTTAAAACTGCCACTCATCTTTCACACAAGCCTTTCCTTGCTGCCTCCCGCTTCTCATCCGCCCCCTAAATTTGCCCTTTTCAATCAAGAAACTCAATTCAGAGCCTTAATACAGCTCCTAGTTCAGCTTCCTACACTTAAGCAGCCCAGCAGATTGTCTAGTGAGGTGGCCTGGGCTGGAAAGCACCAGTTTGTCTTTTGAAGTGCTGCTGCAGAAGTGCTAGCAAGCAGGACTTCAAACAGAAATGGCTCTTCCCCACGCAGCTCGGCTGCTGCACTGAGGGGAATTGACTGGAGAGCTCTATAGGGTATCTTTACTGGAAACTGAACTGCAGACTTCATCAAGTCTCATTCCAAGTTTAGTTTCTTGTTTGAAAAGGGCAGGTTTAGGTGGATGAGGGTGGGGAGGAAGCAACAGAACAGAATGGAAGGAGAGGACTTGGTTTTGGGTGTCCCAGTTTTTCGTTGCCTTTTCTCTCCTTCTCCAACTTTATTCCATGAGCCCAGCTGCCCTTTCTAGCCATGATGGTGCAAGACAAAAGGCAACGCTGGAGTCAAAGGGTGAGGTGTTGCAGGGCTCTTTATGGGGAGACGTTTCAATCAACACTTTAAGGACCCTCATGAAATTTATGGGCTGAGGTTCACAAGTGTGGCAAACCCCAAATCCACGCCTGGCTTGAACAGGTTCAGAGCAAATGTTTCGCACACTCTACCACGAACTGATCAACTAAATCTGGATGCCAGTTATGGATTCCCACAAACAAAGCACAGATCTTTGTTTGGGGGGAGGGATAGCTCAGTGGTTTGAGCATTGACCTGCTAAACCCAGGGTTGTGAGTTCAATCCTTGAGGGGGGCCATTTGGGGATTTAGTTGGGTATTGATCCTGCTTTGAGCAGGGGGTTGGACTAGATGATCTCCTGAGGTCCCTTCCAACCCTAATAATCTATGATTCTATGTATTTCTCCAACTAGATCCATTTTATTTCAGATTAAGGAAAACAACCGTGATAAAAGAAAGAACAAATATGAAGTCAGCTGGAGAGAGAGAGTCTCACTCTATAACACTCTATATCTGAAATTTAATGCAAAATGGCAGCTGCTTTATAGCAGCCCTTGCAATAGGCAGTGGCAAGGAGAGGGTGGAGAGGAGACACTCCTCTATGTTTAAAGGAGCAGTAAACAGAAAACAAAATGACACCGCTTTTCATTTGCATAACTCCATAAATCAAAGTATCCAGCTGGAACACCAATGATGACAAAATTAAAATTTTACTCACAGACTCACTGAGCTCTCTATTGGGTATACAATAGTTTATTATTAAATGCCACCTGTCAAAAAATTTACAGTACACACAATTGCAGCTCTAAATAGATGCTCAGTTGCCACTTTTCCACAGGCCAGATAAATACATCTTTTTGAAAATCTAACCCTAAAATGAAGAGCCTGTGGGTTCAGAAAGATTTTTTTTTAAAGCACATTGGATAAATGGGTTTTGTATTGTACCTTCGACTTCCTTCCTATCGCTGCAGAAATTTCTGTACAATAGCTGAGATATATGCATTTTAAGTTTTAACGCACTGTCAGATCATAGCTTGCCCCATAAGGGTGAAATTCACCCCCAAACTGCATTGGCTTGTGAGGCTCCAATTCAGCAAACAAAATACTTGAGCACATGCTTAACTTTAAGCAGGTGACTTGCCCCAATGAATTCAATGGGCCTATTCACATGCTTAAAATGAAGCATGGGTTTAAGTAATTTGCTAAGTCAGAAAGTAGGAGCTAAAGTGATATAGAGGGGTCCATGCAGCCTGTCTGCATTGGGAGGTATTTCACCTTAAATTGGCACAGAGGGACAGCCAATATTTAAAATGATTTTGATAAATCACTCATTTTCTCTGCTGACAGCCCATACACACAGCTCTAATTTTAACCCATGGAGCCTCAGAAACAGCATTTACTGTTCTTAACAAAACAAGATTCATTTACAGCAAGTCATACCGTCTACAATCTTTTTTACACTCAGTTATTTTATTTTAAATCATTCTGATTTCACTGAGAACGGGCTGGGGAAGGAATTTCCAGAGGCAACAGAAGCTCACAGGAAGCAGGCAAGCACAGCAGACTGAGCCCGCCACCCATTGCTTGCAAGCCACTCTTAGTGCTATACAGGGTTCCTCTATGCTTATCCCCCGTCCTTTTTTTTATTCCTGTGCTCCTGCAACACTGCTGATGCAAATTCTCCCATTACTGAGAAACATCTAATAATTGAATTGCAACATACAATGGAAAACTAAGAAGTACTTTATCATGATTTTATTAGTGTTCTGCCACTGACATCCAATTGACTGCTTTGGCCAGGAACACACAAGTATCAAGTTGACATCAAATACACCTGTGGTCTGTCCTAGAGCTATAGATTTGAGAATGCCAGAAACATTTAACTGCCATCAACAAGCTAAACGTATAGGGTATCAGAGTGGGGGGGAATAGTTAGCAGAGGAAACCAACCTTCTTTTATGGTAAAATGACCCTATTTTCTTTTTCAAAGAGGCACCATCAATTTGAAAGTCACATTTCAGTCTGAACATTGTCTACCTTCTATAATTCCAAGCTACACCTAAAATGGCTCTAACTGAAAAAGGTAGCAAAAATCATCATTTTAACGCCCCTTCCCCCCATCTGTTCACTTGACAGCACTCCATGCATTGTCAAAATCACTGTTCTCTTGAATGGCCAGTTATTTAGAATCTAATCCTGCAACTTTCTCTGCACACATGCAGAGACTGACCTGAATAGATACATTTGCAGGATCAGGACCTTAGTCAGTTTCTCCCTTGCATCGGCAAGGAAACAGAAAAACTTTTATAAAGGACATTTCTTTTAATTGAAAAACAATTGGTTATTTAAAAGAAGCTTAAAATTAGTTATTTAAAAGAACATAGATTTAAAAAAAAATTCTATTTATAAAAACATGTTGGCAGTGTCCCTTTAAAAAATAAATTTCAGATGAAGCAGTCACTGATGTTAAAGAGAGGTACTTGCTCCCCTCTCAATGTACCCCTACCTAGATCTAGTCTAAATCTATATTTTTATGCTGCTGTCATCATCATAGTACCCTATGAGCATGTGTGTGGGTGGAGAGGGGGGGAAACAAAACACTCTCTCCTCTTTCTCTCTCAGCCCCCCCACCAAACCCTACAGGCATAGCACCAATAGAATTGCTCTGGATTCACATCAGGATAAATGAGAGCTTATCTCTTTAAAAGGGTATGGCCCTAATGCAGGGGTTCTCAAACTGGGGGTTGGGACCCCTCAGGGGGTCACGAGGTTATTACATGGGGGTCGCGAGCTGTCAACCTCCACCCCAAACCCTGCTTTGCCTCCAGCATTTATAATAGTGTTAAATATATTAAAAAGTGTTTTTAATTTATAAAGGGGGTCACACTCAAAGGCTTGCTGTGTGAAAGGGGTCACCAGTAAAAAAGTTTGAGAACCACTGGCCTAATGCTCATGCCAGGTGTGGGACTCTACTGAAGTTAGTGGAGTCACATCTGTGCAAGTGAGAAGACTTAATACTTTTATTTGGACATGCGGAAAGCTGAGCGTGTAAAACCCTGCAGACGGAGAGAAGCTAGTTTCTCACATAGCCTTTAACTTCTAACAGAGCCTTGCGGTCTGTAATATTTAAAATGCTTCTATTAAGACATCAACGAATATCAGTTTCTAATGGCATTTTGAAGTCAGCCACTACCAACTGGTGCTGAGGTACTGCCAGGATATCGACACCCTTTGACTTTTCAAAGCCAGTCAGATTTAAGGATTCCTTCTAGACTTTTATCATAGAAAATATACATCTAAAGCATCAGCAGGTTACTAGTACTGTATGGAAACAGGAGCTGTATCCCCAAAGGAACATTAGACAGCTAACTGGTGATCTCACTTTCTAGCTGTATACATGAGAACTGCCAACTAACATCTCACTTACTGTTGGCACAATATTCAGAGTATGAAGAAAAATATAAAAGAGGATGAAGTGTTATAAGGCTGAAGTGCATTCTGAGGGGAGTAGAGGAGAAAGGTGGAGAATGCTTATAATGCTTTATGACAGGGTACCTGAGTTTGGGAGCAGATCACAGGGGGAAGCTAGAGAACCAGGGGAACTTTTGTACTGCCCCTGCAAGGCAGGCTGGAGCTGGGGAGCAGAGCGTGGGGGGGAGGGGGGGACTGGGAAGAGCCTGTATTTGCAGCATTCATCTGCAGGAGCAGAACAGAGGGGGCACAGGATAAGGGAGAGCAAGGGGAACTCCTGTCATGCTGGGGAGCAGAGAATACATGGGAGAGCAGGGAGCTCATTCAAGGCTGCAGAGTTCAGCTTTAAGTTGGGGTTGGGTGCTGGGGCAGGCAGGCAGAGGGGAAAGCAAGGATACTACAATAACGCTGCAGCCCCAGTCTAGCCCAGGGAAGGGAGAGGAAAGGGGGGAGAGGGGAGCAGAGCACGGGGCGGGGGGCGTCGCTGAAGCAGGAGCGGGCATCGCACAGCCGGTCTCAGCAGCCCTTGCCGTTAACTGCTCACACTTGCCTTCCTTCGGTTTATTCCCACCTTTCAATCTTTCCTTTCCGCCCCCCGATGAACTGGTAAGAAACTTCAGTCGCTCCTGGGGAGCTGCTGAGTAAGATGGCCGCAGAGCAGCCTCTGCTCTCCTCCGGCCACCTCTGGGTTAACCCGGCTGCTGCCCCTCCACCCTGCTACATGCCCCCCACTTACCCCGGCGCGGACCCCAACAACTACAGCACCGGGAGCGCTGGCCACACTCCGCGGGCGCCGAGCGCTGACACCCCCCGGGCAGGGATGCGATCGTTCCGGGAGCCCCTAGCAGCAGCCCAGGGCTCCCCCTTCCCTCCCCTCCCCTCCCCTCTCCTCTGAGGCCACGCGTATGCAGCCTGGGCAGGAGCGTCTTAAAGAGGCAAAGCACCTTAGAGCTGGGACGCTCCTCTTAATATTTCAGCACGGGCCCGATTCTCCATTACCCCCCATCGCCTTGTCTCCTCAGTCACCCCCCTGCCCATCTGAGTGGGCAGCGCTTTACCCACGCTCTGCCCCCACTGCACAAGGGTGAATCCTGCCCAGTGTCTCTGGACTAAAAGATGCAAGTTCAGATCTATGTGGGGTAGGGTGACCAGACAGCAAGTGTGAAAAATCCGGCCCCCGCGGGGGATAGGCATCTATATAAGGCAAAATCCCCAATATTGGGACTGTCCCTATAAAATCAAGACATCTGGTCACCCTAATGTGGGGTCAGATGAAGGAAGCAGAACAACGTTCAGGAGAGGAGGAAAGCAGTGAGATAGAATATTATAGAATAGAAAATTAGGATTGGAAGAACCTCAGGAGGTCATCTAGTCCAATCCCCTGCTCAAAGCAGGACCAATACCAACTAAATCATCCCAGCCAGGGCTTTGTCAAGCCTGACCTTAAAAACCTCTAAGGATGGAGATTCCACCACCTCCCTAGGTAACGCATTCCAGTGCTTCACCACCCTCCTGGTGAAATAGCGTTTCCTAATATCCAACCTAGACCTCCCGCACTGCAACTTGAGACCATTGCTCCTTGTTCTGTCATCTGCCACCACTGAGAACAGCCTAGCTCCATCCTCTTTGGAACCCCCCTTCAGGTAGTTGAAAGCTGCTATCAAATTCCCCCTCACTCTTCTCTTCTGCAGACTAAATAACCCCAGTTCCCTCAGCCTCTCCTCGTAAATCATGTGCCCCAGCCCCCTAATCATTTTCGTTGCCCTCCGCTGGACTTTCTCCAATTTGTCCACATCCTTCTTGTAATGGGGGGACCAAAACTGGACGCAATAGTCCAGGTGTGGCCTCACCAATGTGGAATATAGGGGAATAATCACTTCCCTCGATTTGCTGGCAATGCTCCTACTAATACAGCCCAATATGCCGTTGGCCTTCTTGGCGACAAAGGAACACTGCTGACTCATATCCAGCTTCTCATCCACTGTAATCCCCAGGTCCTTTTCTGCAGAACTGCTGCTTAGCTAGTTGGTCCCCAGCCTGTAGCAGTGCATGGGATTCTTCCTTCCTAAGTGCAGGACTCTGCACTTGTCCTTGTTGAACCTCATCAGATTTCTAATTCTGAGCCCTAATTCTCTTCTAATTAACCCCAGGGTAATTCCTGGAGTTCCTCCTGATTTACAGCAGTGTAAGTGAGAGAGGAATCAGGCCCAAGTGCCTCCAATTCCTGTTGGGAAAAGGGCTTGTGAAGAGCTGGAAGTAAGATCCCATGTGACATATTCTCAGTATACCAGCGAATGAGGGAAATATGGTTGTGACGTTCCCCTCTTGTGTTGTCTGTACTGGTGATCTGCTAGGTCACTCCAATCCTTAACTCTGGGAGCTAGCCTTACCCTGCTCTGCTGTGAGAACCCTCTCACTCCTGGGCTGTTCACTCACAGCCTCTGGCACGTAAGCTGCTCCCAGCTACTTGCAATCGAATGACACTAGCCAATATCTCCGGTCCCAGACACAACCCTAGGAATCTCCGTCTTGCAGTGTCCAGTTATGCCCGCTGGACGCTGCAAGCTTATATACGTTCATCAATTTAACAAAGAAACTGATAAGTACCAGGCTTGTTATCCCAAGGGGAGTCTCTTTCACGCTTCAAACCAAACACACTGCTTCAGGTAGAATAAACAAACAGATTTATTAACTATAAAGATAGATTTTAAGTGATTATAAGTCAAAACATAACAAGTCAGATTTGGTCAAATGAAATAAAAGCAAAACGTATTCTAAGCTGATCTTAATACTTTCACTGCCCTTACAAACTTAGATGCTTCTCACCACAGGCTGGCTGGTTGCCCTTCATCCAGGCTCTCCCCTTTGATCATAGCTTCAGTCGCTGGGTGTGGTGTCTGTAGATGTAGGGGAAGAGAGAGAGAGCATGGCAAATGTCTCTCCCTTTTATCATGTCCTTTCTTCTCCTTGGCTTCCCCCCCCCCCCGCCTTTCAGAATCAGGTGAGCATTACCTCATTGCAGTCCCAAACTGACCACTCAGAGTCTAACAGATCCTTTTGTTGTTGCCTAGGCCAGCGTCCTTTGTTCCTGTGAGGCTGGGCTGGGTTTGTCCCATACATGCCCTGATGAGGTGTGAACTGCCTCTCTGTCCTTGGAGAGTTTTTGCCTGGACTTGCTTTAAGCCACAAGGATACATTTTCAGCCTCATAACTGTATACATGAAATTATAACCTATAACATTACTATAACATTACTGTAACAATTACTATAACATCACTTTAAAAACCATGCTCAGTGTATCGTCAGCCTTCCAAGGACACCCAACATGACAAACTTTGCATTGGATACCACACAATCATTTTATAAAGAAGAACATGAGGGTGTAGGGTGTTTCCCCGAGGTACAGAGCGTCACAATGGTACATCAGCTTTCATAGGCTCACTACTAAATACAATAAACCCTGTGTTTGGGACTGAAATACCCCACTTGCAATATGCCGAATGTGTAGTTTAAGGTGTTGTGGGAGCCCTTTATTCCACCGCCAAATGGAGATGAAGGCTGGAATGATTTTCTGCCTCTGACAAAGGCATTCACCCTCTGTCTGGATACTGCTTGGTCTCCCCTGCTAGAGATGATTTATCCCTGGGTTTCATAGAAATACCACTAAACAGCAGAATGTTGGGCTTTTCAGTGGACTATATGGAACCAAAGAACAGGTTCTTTGCAAACATTTCCTGGGGAAGAAGATCCCTAACACTCATACACACACCCTCACTTCAGGATGGACACTGCACATCCATTTACTCAGTACATATTGCAGGAACAAAATATACCCCCCCCCCCCCGAACAAAACACACTTAATATAAGATTGTTTGTCCAGTGATTCTGCTTGCCTTCTTAATGCCGAATATGAGATAATCTTTTTATTTAGAGGGTGAATGCCTTTGTTTTAAATAGGAAAACACATGAATACAATGCCCATTTCTTCTCCCCTACAACACATGCTCCTGGGGGACATGGAGTTCATCACAGGGTAATAGGAACATAGAATTCCCATACTTGATTCACCTCGCCCAGTATCAGATGCTTCAGAGGAAGATGCAAGAAACCCCAGAGTAACAATTATGGAATAACTTACCCACAGGGGAAATTTCTGCCTCACCTACATCAATTAGTGCATGGATTTGGCCTTGATGCATAATTTATCTCAATTTTTTTAACCCTATCAAATGTTAATGTTCTAATAATCAGTAGAGAATGGAGAATATTTCCACAATTGAACAATCAAACTGCTTATAAATTAGATGGTTTGTTTTTGTTTTTTAAAAAGGTGTTTTTCACAGTTATCAACTTCTAACACTTTTCTGCAAGATACTAGCTAGTAAATGGAAACTAGAAGATAATTCAGATTAAGTTTACAGGATTCATTTAGCCAAACAGTAGGGCACAGCTCTGAATTTCTGAACTTTACAGTCAAATTTAGAATCATTATTAAATGTTGAACTAGGAACATTAGGTTGGCAGGTTGGGCTAGGACAGGGGTGGGCAAACTTTTTGGCATGAGGGCCACATCTGGGTATGGAAATTGTATGGTGGGCCATGAATGCTCACAAAATTGGGGGTTGGGGTGCAGGAGGGCGTGAGGGCTCCAGCTGGGGGTGTGGGCTCTGGGGTGGGGCTGGGGTGAGGAGTTGAGGTGCAGGAAGGTGCTCCGGGCTGGAACCAAGGGTTTGGAGGACAGGACGCGGATCAGGGCTGGGACAGGGGGGTTGGGCATGGGGAGGGTGAGGAGGCAGGCTCTGAGTGGTGCTTACTTCAAGCAACTCCCAGAAACAGCGGCATATCCCCTCTCCAGCTCCTATGCAGAGGCACGGCCAGGCGGCTCTGTGCGCTGCCCTGCAAGCGCTGGCCCTGCAGCTCTCATTGGGTGTGGTTCCCGACCAATGGGAGCTGCGGGGGTGGCACTTGGGGTGGGGGCAGTGTGCAGAGCCCCCTGGCTGACCCTACGCATAGGAGCTGGAGTGGAGATGTGCCGCTGCTTCCCGGAGCCGTGCGGAGTGGGGCAAGACCCCGACCTCGCTCCCCAGCTAGAGCTCCAGAATGGGGCAAGCCCCAGACCCTGCTTCCTGGCGGGAGCTCGAGGGCTGGATTAAAACATCTGGAGGGCCGGATGTGGCCTCCGGGCAGTAGTTTGCCAATCTCTGGGCTAGGATAACCTTCCTAAGGTTTCCTGGAGGCTCTACTGAGGCTTAAGAAATTTGTCAAGGTCCTGGAGAGACTTACTAGCTTTGCCAGACCATTGACACTACATGCATGAGTGAGTACAATACTACTACTCATCGTGAGTGAGGGTGGCAGAATCCTAGCCTCAGAGAATGACAAAACGAGAAAGAACAAAAGTCAAGTCTCCATAGGATATCACAGTATATATGTGTGTGTGTGTGTAGACTCTGAGTGCACTGAGCTCTAGGAACAAAATGATTGCTGAACACTGCACTCAGGAGTTCCCTTGTTCTGTGTCATTCTTATTATTTATTTGTATTACTGTACCACTGCCCTGTGCCTGCATTCTGCGCAGGCATGTCTATTTGTGGGAACATAACAAAGGAAGCTTTAAGCTACTTTTTGCCGTCCATAGTCTAGGGCTTTTCAGGACCCCGCTCCCCCACCCCATATAAATTAGAGCAGCCTGATGACTGCTCGAAGTTATGCTCTACTTCTTATGCCTCCTATAGGCTGGGGGAAATAGCGAAGAGCCAGAGTGCAGATTGCTCCAGCCACTCTCCCTCCCTCCACTTTGAACATCTTCTCCTGGCCTTTGCTTCCTCCAATGCCCCCCC